GGCTCTCAGCCTTCTGCGGTTGATGCTCCAGGTGGATTTGGAAGGATATTTGGTTATATGACTGATATCACAGCTAGGTGACTACCACCCCCCACCCACTATCATCTTCAAACAACCCTGGAAACACACAGGACAGGCTTTATGCGGTGCTGGAAGCAAGCAATAATCACAAATGGAAGCATTATCATTTTGATTAATGCAGTGGTGGATTAAAACTTGCCCCTTTCACTAATCACCCAGGCTGAGTACCCACCGTGCCTTTGCCCCAGGCCTGCCATCCACTGTACCCATTAGAGAGCGCCAGGTTTAGTCGATCTTCAAGAACCGAGTGTTCTTTCTTTCTTTTTTTTCTTTTCTTTTCTGCTTCTGACTTTCTTTTTCTTATATGTACAGCACACACACACACACACACACACACTATCGTTCAAAAGTTTGGGGTCAGTAATACTCTTTTATTGTTATTGAAAGAAATTAATTCTGTTACTCAGAATTAATTTATATATATATATATTTATATACTTATTTATATATATATAAATCTTTTTTAAAGATGTTATAATTTTATTTCTTAAAAATTTATATAAAGTGTGTGTGTGTGTATATATATATATATATATATATATATATGTATGTATATATATACAGTATATTAGATAGATAGACTTGATTTGAAGTTTCTGTTCATTAAAGAATCCAGAAAAAAATTTAATGTCCACAAAAATCATAACTTTTGTCCGTAAATATAATTCATAATAAGAAATGTCATGTGAGCAGCAAATCAGCATATTAGAATGATTTCTAAAGGATCATGTGACACTGAAGTGTGGAGTAAAATTCAGCTTTGCATCACAGGAATAAATTATGTTTTACAATGTATTAAAATAGAAAACATTTATTTTACATTTTAATAATATTTCACAATATTACTGTATTTTTGATCAAATAAATGCAGCCTTGGTGAGCAAGGTTCTTTAAAAAAACTGGTAGTGATGGTAATTTTCTGCCAGGGCATTATCCGTTAAATTTACGGTTATTTCCTTTAACCTTAAAACACAACACAATGCAATGTGTAATTTGAAATATGGACAAAACACCTGTTAAAAATTAATATGGAAAATTCATTCTTATTATCACAGTACATTGGAGCCTATTTTTAAGGACTTTTCTTAGCAATGTAAAGTCATTAACCATTAAAAACATTAACTTTGGCAGCCCTAAAATACCAACACTAGAACTTAAGTAATAATAATAAAATACATACATAAATAAATAAATAATCTGGAATAAGAAAACTCTGGCAAAAGTAGATTAGAAACTAATGAAACCAAGATAAATTAACAAATAAAATAGAAGTGAAATTGAAAGAATAAAATTCTATAAAACCCCTGCTTACAGCAGATATACCACCTGCAATTTACCACAATTAGTCTTTACTCAGCAGCAGGTACAGTTACAGAGTGCCTATTAATGTGTGGTTTTGGTTATTTATAGGCTGCCCCCTTTTCCCCCTCCTGCTGTAAGGAAGTGTATTCAGAGAGGGAGGAAAGAGGAAGTAGAAGAACGAGAGTGAGGGAGGCAGCCTCTGCAGTGACCCCTGGGTGCCGGGAGCAGGGCCGCATCTCAAAGCCCGCCGGAGGCGCATTAGTTATTACACCAGCGTCTGCCTGGCATGCCACACTACACTCGGGGCGATGCCGGCGCATGCTGTAGCCTTTCATCTGAAGCCTCTCTGTGTCTCCCCAAACATCTGGCTGCACGTTTGTCCTACATTATGCCTGGAAAATGAACAATTTGCTTGCCGGTGGCTGCCTTTGAGTGACAGCAAAGACAACATATGGGAGAGTGTCAGGAATGGCAGAGAGATCTCACAAGCCTATTTAATGCGCTCACTACTGTATGGGAACCCAGCAGAAATATCCTTCTGAAAGACAGATCTAACTGTCAGCGCAAAGCTATCATCTACAATAATTGTGGTGGTCGATACAGTAGTATGTGTCATTACGGCCGCCGTGCTTTAAAGTGAGATTTGTGGATTGGCCCTTTTTGTCTGTGGGCTTGAATTCTTCAAGTGAGGAGAGCGAGCACTGTTATTGACATTGCTTAGAGCTCTTAGCAGATATTAGAAGCTGAGGTGGTTTGCTGAATGCTAAGCTTTCACCGTGCTTCTGTTGAAATGTAGCTTTTAGTTGCAGTGGGTGGAATGAATCACAGCAGGTCAAGCCAGTGATCCACTTTTAATGACTTCAGTGTATTAATGTAAAAAGTGCATTAAAACATTCAAAGGCTCGTCCAGGGCAAAACTGAGCATGTCAATTAACACATATTTATGAAAGGATATGAGATGGAATGACACAGAGCAAGATTTGCAAGGACGATTCTCGCCTTTGTGAATATAATATATATTTTAAAAAAATGATGAGAAAGAATTTCAGAGTGTTGTCATTTGATAAGATGCGACAGATTATACTTATTATGGTGATATTGCAAGTTATTTTTTCGAAGAATACATTTCTTTCAAAAGTGTATGAGGTGGCGGATCCCCTAAAATAGGTGACGGAACCAGTTCATGATGTGCTGGATATGGCTTGTCTTGGTATAATGAACAATTCACCATGCCTGTTTAGTTTCCTTAGGACCCCAGGGAGTAGCTGTTTGTAATGCCTAATCAAACAAAAATGTATCATCGCAACATTTGCGTATGGTATGGGTTAATGGTATGCTAAGCTAGTACTCTGAGCCATTAGCTAGCAAAACCTAAAACTTTAACTTTAAAAAAATAAACTAAAATTTTGTATGTAACAATTAAAAAAAATGAATTGTCATAATAGCCACATAAAAATAGTTCAGACAAATACACTAATGTCCAAAAGTTTAGGGACGATACGATTTTTTTATGTTTTTGAAATAAGTCTCTTATGTTCTAAGGCTGCATTTATTTGATTAAAAATACAGTAAAAATAATAATAATGTGAAATATTATTACTATTACTAATTTTATTTTATTAATTTTTTTTTGCTGAAACATGGTATTTTTTTCAGGATTCTTTGAAGAATAGAACGTTCATAAGAACCACATTTATTTAAAAATCTGTCACTTCGAATTGATTTAATACATCTTTGCTGAATAACGGCATTCATTTCTGTCAATTAAGTAAATAAATAAATAAAACAATTTGTAGGATTTCTAATCAGGCACTATATAAAAGACTACCCATTAAAAATGCTTATAGCCACTGGAATGCTTTGGGGTCGTAGGGAGACTCTTTTCAACTGGTGGACTGAATTGTTCATGATGGCGGCATCAATTTTATATTTAACTCTCTCAAAGGGATATTGAGGATATTACTGCAGAACATTGCCTCTCATCAAGTGATTCAGAACATGCTGTGACGTGTGGAACCTGCCCAGCTGTGACGCTGCAATCACACGATTTGGATGACAGTTGGAGTCTTCCTACTGGAGATAGATCTCACTACACGAATGCACAGACACTAATATTTCTTAATACAGCAGCTACACTGTAGTTGGATTGCATCACAAAGTGTTTAAAGTGTGTTTTCGACGAGGTCTAAAGTGATTAAATGTAAAGTTTTGCTGCACAAACTATGAAAGAGAATATTAAATGTGGAACTCCGAATATTTTTCATTGGATGCGAGTGTGAACTTTTCAAAAGTTTTCATGGGTTTAGAAAAGTATTTGTTTGGTTTCCTGCCGTAAAATAGTCCTGAAGTTGAAAGTTATGTCAAGCAGAGCTGACAAATAGAAGAAATCTGGTCTCTGAAAATTAAATTATGATACGGTAATGCATTTTTTATTGTAAAATTATTCAAAATGTTATATTTTATTTATTTTCCAGATTGTTTGCCTAATGAGAGATGGGCACAGATGAAATGGAGTCTTTTAGAGTGGGCTTACGATATAGACATAGACCTGTCTGCTGAAACACTGACATATTCCCAAGAGACCCATTAGTAAAATCCCATTTCTGTGAGTAGGAGAGACCGTGGAGTGTCGTAACAATAAGTTGTAAAACTATCAGTTTAACCAATTAGAAATGAGCTATAGCCTAGGGGTTGAAATCAGTCATGTGACCACGGTGTAACAAATTTTATAAGGGTGTATCATTTAGTACCTGTCTAATAATTTGATTTGTGATCATGCAAATGCTAAATGACAGCAGATTATCTCGTTTTTTAAAAATCGTAACCAGAACTTGTTAATTTAATCCGTAACATCTAAAATCGTTTTTCATCTCAGTATTAAAATTGACCAGTGTACTCAATGCTAATTTAAACAGTTTAGAGATAAGTAGTATATTTATAGTTCACTTTAATTTGAAGTAGATGAATATGAGATATTATATCAAAGTTTGAGACAGGTAGTCAAAGAAAAAAATTTAAATTTAAATTTAAAATTTTACAACACTCCTTGGTTTCTGTTGTAGTTGTCAGACAATGTTATTTCTACATGGATATTCCTCCTGAGCATCTCATGGTCAGCATTCTTCACATTAATATTAGACTTGATAAAAATCACAACCTATGAGACCAAACTGCCATTATGGGTTTTCAACAGATGCACTTGGGAAAGATTTTCAATGTCCCTTTAAAAAATATCCCCAGCAAGATCGTTGCAGTTCCTTTACCAGCCGCAAAGTGCGTCTTTGCTCCACTTTTGAGGCGCTCACATTCAGTTCCTCTCCGTACTGAGGGCAAGTGGAGATATCAGCATTGTATCAACCCGCGAACCCACAATCGTGAGGAACGAGGGTAAAAAAAACCCTCTCTAGTCTTTTACCTTCATTGCGACACCTAAAGAACTGCACCGGGATGTGTTTTTTTCTGATGAGACGACGGATTGTGGATTAACATCAGTCTTAAAACTGCATTAGGGAAATCATATGCTGTTTTACTCTGCGAAATAGTTGGACCAAATCATGTCGCTGTCACAGATGTTTCGTGCTTGAGCTTTTCCTTCGTTTGGATTGTATTTTTCCCTCCTCCTGCCGTCATTAGTGGGAGACGCACTCTGGAAATGTAGGGAATGGCAAAGAGTATTGGAAATAGAGCTTCATGGTAATTATGTGGATAATTTTATCTATCTTGGGAGCTTCTTGCGTTGTTTGTTTGTAACCGAGACTGTCGTGTTTTGTTCATTATATAATTACAAATATAAATACATGCAAAAAGAGCAGAAGTAGCACAATAAACCTGCGCATTTGACTGGATTGTAGGACTCCAGGATTTCAATAAAACTGCTCTAAATGTGAAATTGTACAGAAAATGAGCTTTCAGCGTCTGTAGTTACCTTATAATGTCCATAAACCGAGAACATCAGGAAGAAATAAACTGGGATGTGACGTGCTGTAACTTAAATAAGCATTTAATACAGTCTGCAACCCTTAAAAGACCCATTATCAGGAGTCAGATGTATTTAAAGTGTACACTAATGTGCTCACCCCTCAACTTGAATGAGAATTATTCTGTTTTGATTAAGGTTATTCTCATTTTACCCTTCTTAATTTTAATTAATCCGACAAATTAATCGAGATCATATTAACTGACTGATAATGAGGTCTTGAAGGTACCTCTGACTCAGACAGTTTGACGTCGCGGTCGTGTATGGTCGTGTATTATTTATTTATTTTTCTTTCGATGCATATCATACTGGTAATACTATTAATACTCGTTAATACTGGACGGTCGAGAGTGGAGGGTGCTTTCGGTGGGCAACTTGTACAGATCTCATGGCGTTTGCCGGCGTGATGATCAAGCAAACTTGCCATTCACGGTCGACGCGAATGCGTTTGTATAAACGACAGAAACATGTCCTCTTCGACGCTTAGATGCTTGGCGGTTTTTTTAAAATTTTTATCTAGACTCGGTTTAAGTTCGAGAATAGCGCTTTTTGAAAAAGGTATGTCTTTTAAAAGATTAATAGTTCACCCAAAAAGGAAAATATATAGTCATTTACTCTCCATCGTGTTGTACCAAATACGTATGACTTAGAATAACGTGTCAGGATGTCTGAGTTGCCATTCACTTTCATTGCGTCTTTTCTGCATGCAGTGGAAGTGAACGGCGACTGAGGCTGTCATTCAGATAAACGTCTTTTCTGTTCAGCGGAAGAAAGTCATAAGAGTATGGTACAACGTGAGGTTGAGGAAATGTTTTAAATGATATTCGTTTCGTTGAGGCGCACCGCGTTCATTCAGTGTTAAATACCGACATTGCCCCAACGTCAAAACCAGACAATTTAGCTTTTTTTTTCTTTCGGCCAGCGCTTCATGTCAAGCTTGTCAGGCATCGGGGCATTTTGGTCAGTTCGGTTTAGCTAGAAACATCTTGAGGTAAATGCGTGTCGTTTACGAATTCATATTTGGTGAAATATCACTTTAGGGCCATATCTAAATTTTAAAATAACCACTAAAGGTTATTTTAAGGTTGTCATACATAGTCATTTTGTCTATGTATGTAAAAAAACTAAAAAAAACCTAACCGTGTTGTGGAGGCTAGTTTGTGTTTCTCCTGTCTGCCTGCAGACCAGGTACCAAATGTGTACAGGGGAGGGAGCCAGTCCATAAATAATGGAGGCTTTGACTCTTCCTGCTAATGTTGCTTCATGGATTCTGATAAATGAAGACAACCGCCACCAACAAGGCCCATTTGTGTCTCCACACGAACACGTTTTATGTACTCCGCCATCCTCAAAGAAGTTTTTCTTATCCTCTTTGCTCCAAATTCTGTATAAAGACGCAATACAAGCCTAACTAAAATATGTGGCTCTGATGCTGCTTTGATTCTGTGGAAATGAAATGCAGCATCAGTGCAGCCTTAAACTTTGCTGTCATAAAAAAGCTTGTATATTATAGACTAATATAACACTTGCATTTTTTTCATATTTCTATTAATGTCACATTTCTATATGCATAATCTATATTATATCATAAATAATGGAGGCTTTGACTTCCTGCTAATGTTGCTTCATGGATTCTGATAAATGAAGACAACCGCCTCCAAGGCCCATTTGTGTCTCCACACGAACACGTTTTATGTACTCCGCCATCCTCAAAGAAGTTTTTCTTATCCTCTTTGCTCCAAATTCTGTATAAAGACGCAATACAAGCCTAACTAAAATATGTGGCTCTGATGCTGCTTTGATTCTGTGGAAATGAAATGCAGCATCAGTGCAGCCTTAAACTTTGCTGTCATAAAAAAGCTTGTATATTATAGACTAATATAACACTTGCATTTTTTTCATATTTCTATTAATGTCACATTTCTATATGCATAATCTATATTATATAATTTAATTTGTCTGTGTAATTCCAGTTATGGTTTAGGTATAAATAGTGTGTAAATGCATCCCCCACGTGCCATTGCAGTGTAAAGATGGCAAATGTTTTTAAGTTCTTTAAACTTAGTTGCTGTCAAGATGCTTAATGTTGTCACCCTAAAGTTTACTCTGTGATTGGTTGGAAAATCTTTCCATTTACTGAGTTGACATTAAACCTTTGTCAGTTACATGGTGATTAATTACCAGGGCTTTGTTCTGCCTTCATTGACGCTCTTCATTATGTGATATGAGGATCGCTTCATAATCAGCACGCAGAGCGTATGTCACTGTTTGAAAGTGGGAAGGGGAAAGTGTGAAGGGTGGTGTGTGGATTCTCAGTGGTTGTGTTCATAATATTCCTACATTTCACTGCGGCCAACTTGGAAGTGTGTTGGTTTACAGTCTGAAACTAATTGTGATCTTGGTGTGAATTACCTGTGATTTTTTCTTAAAGTATACGTTATGAATCTGCAGATGTATATTGAAGGTCTGCTATTATAATGCTGTGATTTCCCACTGAGGTTTATAATCATCTGAGACTGAATAGTCTCTTTTTAGAGAATATCATAATTACTATTGTATGCCTAGTTGTTTGGACAGAAGCCACCACCACAGTGAGAACTCACTCTCTCTTTAAAAAGAGATGAAGCAAGATTTTATGTGGCAGATTATGTGACGACATTTTCTGGACGTGCTGTTGTGTTTTTGGTCAGTGTTTCTTCTTTACTTTTAAAGGTGCACTGAGTAAAAACAATTTTACATCTAAAGAAATCAACAGTACTTATGACAGATTTGTTTAAAGAATGTACTGTATACTCACATGAGATGAAGAGTCATTCATATCAGTGTCGTAGAAGACATTCCACATAAGGTTGGTCCACCTTCCTGATGATTTTTTGTTTATTTATAAATATCTATATCAAATAAAATAGTTAATATTTTTTACAACATTATCATTAAAACAACAACAACAACTAATAATAATAATAATAATAATATTGGCAAATTGTTACAATATGTGTTAAGTATATATGTAACATCTCCAAGTCATGAATTATATAATGCAATGTATAATTATATAATGTATAATTAGGAACATCTTGTAAAATTCCACAGGTATCAGTCATATAATTTATTTAGGCCTACCTAAAATTCATTTGAGTAGAGACTGTTGTTTCCTTTTGAATGCACAATGTAATGCTATTATTGGGTGCTATTCTTAAAGACCCAACATATAGCATTCATTTGTAGATCTGATCCAATATCAACTGACTGATAACAATCAAGTAGAAATGTATAAATATTGATAAATGTATGTTTAAAACCAATTTCCAGTCTATTTTTTAATGTTAAGATCACATGACCAGCTGAATATTGCTCACTTTATCTCAATAACTCTCCTATTATTGGACAAATAATAGCATAAATAAAATAACAATATGCCTTTTTTACTATATCAAATTTTTTTTTGTGATTTATTATTATTATTATTTAAAAAGATAAATAATACTTAATGCACCTTTTAATTAGGTAGTTAAAGAGTTTGGAGTCCTCATACCAGCAGTTCAGATCATCTTATTCAACATTGTGTCTCAAATGCTTTCAAATGCTTCCAAATCCTGCTGAACTCTCAACCACATTGGTGCGAATGGAATATTAATTCACTGATCGTGGGCCATTAAATGTGATTAAGGCGATGTGATTTGTCTCCCTGCATACATCCTGTGTGGAGCATGGCACCCGTTGTCTCTTTACTCTGCTTTATTGTGCAGACGAGTGCCTTTGTTTGACTGTCTCTTGCTTGTATTGTTTTGTTCTTTTGTTTGTTTGTTTTTCTACTGCAAGAAAACGATTATTTTGCTGTAATCATTTAGGCATAGCTGACATCGCTGTTCGCAGCAAGCTGGAGGGAACCGACAATGGTTGCCCTTTGAAGAATACGCCATTCTGTGTGTTTCACGTATCTGTGCTGTCAGGTTCGGGATTTGCCGTGCATTTGATGAGGAAGGCATTAGGCCCGCTACAGCCTGTTCACCTTTCATTATTCCCTTGTGCCTTGATCCTTCAGCAGAATTCAGCGAATGTACAATTAATCTTGCCAACGTTGTGTAGATGTATACTTGTGATTATTTAATGCATGTTGGTTCAATTTGTTAAAAACAGCTGTGCGATTGTTTAAAATGATCTTCTATAGTTGTAACATTAAAGTCTAGGAGGGGAAAAATTAAAATTAAAATTCTGTCATCACTTACTCACCCTCTTGTCGTTCCAAAACCATACGATTTTCATTTATCTTCAAAACACAAATGAAGATATCTGCAATGAAAGAAAGAGAGCTTTCTGTCTCTCCATTTGAAAGTTCAGGTAATCAAATGTTAGAAGATCCAAAACGTATACTAAAACATTGTAAAAGTAACCAGAATAAATTGAGTGGTTTAATACAAGTCTTCTGACATATAAACATTGATCAACACATACTAGAGCACATCAGATATGCTGAAGGAAGCTCAAACGTGCTTGTGTGACACACAAGAACAATCTTCATTGGTTCTTGTTTGTCAAGTGAGATCCAATGTGGTTTGTTTTTCTAGAATCTCTCATTTTAGTAAAATATATCTTCATTTGTGTTTTGGAGTTGAACAGAAGTCTTATGGGTTTGGAACATCATGAGGGTAAGTAAATGATGACAGACATTTTAAAGGGATCTTTCTCTTGAATGGCCACAGTTATGTTGTATAGC